CTATAATCTTCACTAAATTAATCATAATAATAACTATATATGGTAATGAAAGGCAGCCAGTTTCCTAAGTATGGGACCTATTAACTGGTGGTACCTGAGGTAATTTTAGGTGGATGTAATATTAAATAGTGAAGCACTTAGCAAAAAAAAGTCAATTCCCTTTTCAATATCCTTTCATCTTTCTGATTATGTTAAAAGTTTTGTTGTTGTTTTTTAAACAAAATGAAAACAGGCTTTGGGCTCAGATCCTTGATAGGCAACCTAACTAGATAATGTGTTTTGTTTTAATTATATTTGATTTTATGATCTTCTTGTAGTGATATCAATTGGAAATGTTTTCCATTTAGCAAAGCAACATAATGTTTCCTTTAACATTAACTTAAATTCTATTTAAGTGTGTTTAAAAGATTAAAGACAACATTAAGTAAATCATAGTATTTATGGTTCTTGGATTTGATTTCAGCTTTTTTCTCTTTCTTTTTCTTTCCTTTCTTTTTATAACATTATTTTTATTTTTTATTTTATTTTTTGCTAAGGGCGCATGCGCTCGCCAGAAAGACATAGAGAGACAGAGACACAGAAAGTGAGAAATCACCCCCCAGGGGTGATGGCCCTACTGCAATCCCTTCTCCTCCTTTCTCCTCTCGGGATTTTGGGTGCACACACACACACACATGCACCTGGTGTGAGTTCAAGCCACTTGGTCCAGGACTTGAACCACAGTTGACTACATAGGAGTCTAGCGACATAGCCATCACGCTAACTGCTGGTCCCATCTTTCCTTTCTTTTATAATTACCAAAGGGTGTGTACACTTGAAGGGGAGACAGAAAGACAGAAAGAAAGAGAGAAAGTACCTCAATGGGATATGGTAATGCCGCAATCCCTTTTCTTCCATTTCTTCATCCTTTTGAGGATTTTGGGTGTGGACACACATACACAGCATTTTTTCAAGCCACTGGGCCTGATTCCAACCCCAGTTAGCCAAATGGGATCTGGCGCCCTTAACTTCTAGACTATGAGACTGGTCATTCAGTTTCTTAAACATGTTTTTAAAAATACACAGTGGATAGCTCGAGTGTAGAGTACAGGAGATAATACCAAAGTATACCGTTGACCTTCTATTCTCAAGTGCATGAGTGTAAATTAGAATCTCAGGTTTCAATTAAGGATGAGAACATAAATATATGGGTTAAAAGTACTTATTATTATCTTATATACATTTTTGAACCAAAATACAGCTGCAATTGTATGATAAAAATTAATAGGGAAAAAGATAGGCCAACCTCAGTACAGCATTTAAGCACTGTGCATAGAATGCTCAATCCCGCTTGGCTGACTGTGGTTTGAATCCTGGCCCAGGTGTCCTAAAAACATGCCAGGCATGCTTGCCTGAACTCCTGACAGGATGGAGAAATGAAGGAAAAAGGTTTGCAGTGTGACCACACCCTATTGGGGGTCCTTTTCTCTATCTGGTGAGCACACACTTTGAAAAAAATGAGGAAAAAGATTCACTAAATAGAAAGTTGGTTTACAGAAAATTGTGTATGCTGCATTACTAGTGACATAAACCTTCGCTATTATTTTATAAAGAATATAGGGCTGTCAAAGCAATGAGCTATCAACTAAACAAGCAAAGAAACTAAAATTTAGATCTCAAGAGCTCCTAAGTCTTTTATTTATAACTGAAACTATATTTTTTCCACATGAAAAGAATTCTTATCAAATGACCATTAATCAATGTTTTACTGAACAAAAGATGAATTCTGAGATCTTTATTTTTTAGCTTGGGTTAACTTTGTTAGATATGATTTACTTTTCCTCTTCTTGTTCTGTGTCCACATATTGCATCGTGATCAAATATATTTTTCAGGGACCAGCTCTGTGGCCTGATAGTTGAGGCAGCTGGATTCTATCTACATCGCCAACCCTGCAATTCAAGTCCTGGACTTGGTGGCTTAGGAAACATGCCAAGCACTTGTGCATGTGTGCCCCAAATTCCAATAAGATAGAGAAATGAAGACGGGATTGTACTGAGGGAAAAGTGATGACATATTTTTACACAGGAAAAAAAAAAAAAAAAAAAAAAAAGAAAAGTACACCATGACTTTTCTGACGACCCAATATACAATATATATTTAGGTTGATGTCCAGTATTCTGTTTCGTTTGATAGTAATAAACCTCCACATTGCCTAGGTTGGTACTAAGGTAAAGTCAGACACAAACACAGACACACACACACACTTTTGTACCTATGTATTACATGCTCTCATTTCACTAATACTAAGCCTTACTGTAAGCATAGTACCATATTATACTACTTCTAAGAGAATGTGAGAGAGGACACATGCTCATGCGTGAGTGATGAGACAAAGGGGAACATTTAAGTTGGGTATGAACCTTTAAATTTATAACTTAAAAATATTTAGATTGGTCATAATTAACAAGTAAATTAATGGTTAGTAATGGATATCTGTGGTGTAATTAAGCTTTGAAAAAGATGGTACAACCAACTTTGTGAATGTTGTAAAGACCCTACACGATTGATGATTTGTCACAGTAAAGAAAAACAATTAGCAAATCGATTGTATAGTTTTATTTGCACTTCTATTTTAAGACGCAATTTGCCTTTAAAGAGCTCAATGTATTCTCACCACCCTCCCAATCTACTTAGCAGCTGCAAAAACAAACAAACAAAACAAAAACAATGAAAATATTTGCATTTCTTCAGTTTCTTTTGCTTAGACAAATGTTTAAATTCAATCTTCTATTAAGGTAATAGGAAATGATTGCGGGGGCGGGGGGGGGGGGGGGGGGGCAGGCGTGTTTCAGTAAAAAGTTTCACCTGTTCTGGAATTAGCCATAGAGCTTCAGTAGTATTAATTCAGTAACAGCAATTGTAAAAAATCCTTCTTTAAAAGAAAAAAGCAGATGGCAGTCTAAGAGCCGTTCCAATGAGAGTAACATGGAACTCCTTGGTCCTTCAGCTCTGGAAGTAGGAAAGTTAAATTCAGTGAAAATTTGTACATATTAGCAGCCTGAGGTTTTTGTATTGTCTTTCCTATTTTTATACAGTAGCATTTGGAAACTATACTTAACTATGTTTCATACTGTTATATCTTATTCATTAATTTTACATTCTGAAATAAATGCTTGAATCAGAAACAGCATACTTCCTACCAAATTCCTCTTACCCAAACAAAAATTTGAGATACCAATCTATATTCCAAGAGCACTTGTAAAAGCTACCAAACAGACCATAACATTCTTGGAAAATAGTAAAGATAAGCTGTCAGTTTTCTAGGTAGACAGCAAAACTCACAAGGCAGTCCTCAAATTCCTTTCTTTTATTCAGAGAGCTGTATTTTGTGGATAGGGATCTTCTATGAGTTATTCAGCACCTAACACGATCATTATTCAAAAGTCTTTTATTCTCACAGGTGCATTTTATGAACACACAGTTTTATGCATATTACCCTCATTTTCTATTTCCACAACGTTTTCAAAGGAAACATTTTTTACCTTAATCTGGTTTCTATAACTGTCCTACTGATTGTGGCTCAGAAAATGCAGTCACAGAGGCAAGTAGTTTCTTAATTAGATTTTACTCAATATTTTTTTTTATCAATATGAGAGGCTGCAATGTAGTTTACTGAAAAAGGCAGCATGCTGAGTATAAGAAAAACTTAATTGTTCACTGCTGTATCCCCAGTGCCTAAAACAAGGCAAGGCCAACAACAGGTGCACGATATTTGCTGGACATAAAATTAAGAAAATCAGCTGGTTCTTGGGGGCTCAATCTAGGTAAGTCCTAAACTTCTAGTCGATAGTAAGACTTTGTAACTTTTATTTTGGGTCTACTGCTCTGAAAAATAGTGGGTGGTAACAAAGGAATGTTTAAAAAATTATCAGTTAGTGGTGATTGCAGCTAGTTTCCTAAGAAGTTATTAGTATTACAAATCGTATGTGTGCACGCGTGTGTGGTCATACAAGGCAAAGTTAAAAATAATGAAAGTTTTAGGATGGTGATAAATTACGAAGTCTTTTTGAACGAATGACCTCAAGAGGTCATTCCTGTTCAAGTGAGTGTCATTTCTTTTTATTGCGTTTGCAGTGCTTAGTACAGTCACTGGCTCATAGGTATTCAACAAATATTGAATTACTTGCTTTTATTAACACTCCTTTTGAATTCTAGACGCAACTGAATTTTTACCCTTCCTTAGACAGTGAGGGAGCTGGAACCAAAAATCCCTTAAAAGGTCACGACCAGTAAGGAGGCTGAGCTAAACTCACGGGTAGTGCCAGACAGGCTTGAAGCACTGTGAGGAAAGTCGAAAGAGGACCCACAATAAGCATAAGAGAAACAAACAAAACAGTAATAACGAGCAAAAAGGAAAAACGTTTCTACAGTGGGGGTTGGCAGGAAGCCACTTCATTACCGCAGGTCAACCAATAGATGATTACCGCAGCAATTACCACCAAAGCTCTGGACTACACAGATCTCACTTTCAAAAGGGTCCTATCAATACCAAGATGCCCAAGTTTATCCAAGGTCCTTAGAAAGAACAACCACAAGCAACTAATTCACACCTTTCATTCCATTCAATTACACAGCAAAATCCTCCGCCCTGAGCAAATGACTCGGCGTAGCAGAGCCCGCACTGGAGGTAGATCTGCCCTTGTAGAGCCCGGCAGCCCGACTGTCGGCCTCCGGAACCCAGGGAGCCCTCAGCCGGGAAAGGCAACCTTCCTTCCCTGCCTCCTCCCTTCCAGGTTGGTCCCTGGCCCAGCCCCCGCAGCCCGGGCGGCCGGGGCCACACCCGCTTCCCTCCGGTGGCCCAGCCGCCCCCGCTGCCGTTCGCGGGAGCCTTCTTCCTGGGGCGGGCTCAGGCCCAGGGCGCATGCGCAGTGGCCGTCGGGCGCCTCCCTGCCCGGATCTCGCGAAGTTACGTTAGATTGGCCGCTGGTGACGGGTGGCCGTGCCGGGGGCGGGAGGGCTCTTGTGGTAGGAAGGGAGGTCCGCTCCGCCGGGCGCGCCGCCCCAGTGCTCTGTGGGATACTGGAAGTCTCGAGCGTCTCCTCCCGGTTCCCAGCCCTCCTCTGGCCCGCACTCATAGAAACAGACACACACCCCCTGCCTGCCCGCTCCTCGCTCTCCGCCTCCCCCTTCCCCCCCCTCGCGATAAGAAGACCCGGCGGCAGGAGAGGGGATGAAGATGGCGGACGCGAAGCAGAAGCGGAACGAGCAGCTGAAGCGCTGGATCGGCTCCGAGACGGACCTCGAGCCTCCCGTGGTGAAGCGTCAGAAGACCAAGGTGAAGTTCGACGATGGCGCCGTCTTTCTGGCTGCCTGCTCCAGCGGCGACACGGATGAGGTCCTCAAGCTGCTGCACCGCGGCGCCGACATCAATTACGCCAATGTGGACGGACTCACTGCCCTGCACCAGGTCTGTGCGCCCCGCCGCCGGCTTCCCCCCCGGGCCTCCCCTGTGCCCTCGGCTTCCCGAGGCTGGGGGCGGCGGGAGAGGCTCCTGGTGCTGGGTGAGGGGGCGGCTTCCCGCGAGGGAGGGAGGGAGAGGGTGCATTGGCGGAGGGAGGGCGCTGGGCTGGAGGCCCCCTTCAGACCAGTTGCCGTTGGAGTTGGGGACCGGTGGTTTCCGGCGCACACGGAAAAGGGGACGGTGGCTCCAGGGCCATTTGTGGACGCCTATCTGGGATTTGGGGTCGACACTAGGAGGGGTCTAAGTGGGCTGTGTCTGGGCCCTGGTGTCAGTGATAATTCGGGGGTGGGGGGGGGCTGCTAAAAAAAATAAAAACTAATAAGCATTAGGGACGCTTAGGTAGATGGTCGTCTTTGGTTTGTAGGTGGGCACTGGATTTGTTGTACTTTTTAGGACTTGATTACAAATGATGATGATAATAATAGTAATCAAGCGCCCTAAGCCGAGTGCCCTGAGCGAACGATTTCCTGTTTTCTCCTTTATTACTCTTGGTCACTGGGGAGGGGAAAACGGGGTGTAATTAACTGATCTGCACGGCTGAACAAGAGGGGGTGGACGTGGTTAGGGCGAGGGAGCGTTCTACAGGGCTTGCCCACTTCTTGACCGGAACGCCTCGAGTCTGGGACTGAGTTTGCCGCAGTGTCAGAGCTCCTTCAGCCCCAGGTCCTGGGTGTGCACTAGCGTTCTAAAGAGAATTAACACGGGCACTCGGTTGAAAGCCGGTTACCAAGCTCTGATTTTTGTTTTGGGGGTGGGAAAAAAAAAGAAAACTGGACGCAAACTTTTCTCAAAATGGATGCTTTGTGCATGTTAAAGTTTTATAGTAGTCTGATTGGGATCTCTCAATGTTAGCCAAATAAGGAGAAACTATTGGCAATCCAGAGATAATGTTGCTTTGCCTTTAACAGGCCAAAAGCAACACAACCACGTAGAGTGCTGCATAAAAAAGCAATTTTGAAGTGATGGTAATAGGTGGCAAGACGTAGACTCTTTTTCATTTTCTTAGTGGACAACTTGGAATTATTAGAAATAGACTTACAGCAGTAGCTTCTCCTTTCAGTGAAAGCCATCTCAGAGTTGCCTTGGTTGTATGTCGAAGATCACAGCTTTATTTTAACTAATATTGTACAATAGTAAAAACTTGTTTGGGAGATTGAACTTTAAGGCTTTCTATTTCATGAATATTAATTTGATGCCTTTTAAAAAGAGAGCTGTGTGATGGCATTTTTCTTTTTACTGCTTCCTGTTTAAGTGAATGATGACTATTTAAAGTTTTATTTAATCGAGTTATTATATCAAACTTGGCATATAGCCTCTGTTTACAAAATTAACTGGATGGATTGGAATGACTGACAAATTGCAGAACAAATCTGGAATTCAGAATGTGGCACCCAGTAAAAATATAACATGGTCTATGGCTCTTTATTCCATTAATTTAGGTTCTCTAATGTATAGCAAACTTTTTATTTGGCTCAAGTTTATTTTAAGGCATGACATAACTCTAGGTGCAAAAAAAATGGTATAAAAAAACTTTGGGCATTAAAAGTAATAATGGAACTAGGTAAAATGAAGCATCTTTTCACATTTCTTTCAGGTATAATTTACACATTTTAGTATGAAACTGATTCTAAAAGACATTTATTACTGTATTTTGAGGTCAGAATAATTGGATAATGGTTTATATCAATATGTTTTATTTAAATTATCAAATAGAAATGTAAAGTTATTACTGCTGTAGAAGAGCCTAATTACATTGGCTTGGAGAAACAAGATTTTGAATTCTCTTATTAATGTAACACCAGTTTAGATAGCTAGAGAAAATATATGTAATAGGCTTCGTAAGGTCTTTCCCCCCTCTTATTTGACATATATTGCAAGAATTATCAGCCTTACCAAACGTCTTCCTGATTAACTGAATTCAGTGGTTAGTTTGGTTAGGTAGTCTTTATTGGGTATTTTTGTTTTATAAACAATCACTTAAGCAGAAGTTTCCAAGTTTATGCTATTTGCATAATAATATGTTTTTGTAATTTCTTAAATTAGCGAAGCCAAAATCCTTAAAATATCAAGCATTACAGTTTTTCATGTTTTGCTACCCACTCATTTCTCATTTATCAACTTTTGTTTTTTCCCATTGTAACTGTGAGAACAAGGAGTTCACTTTGGGCAAATTCAGGACAACAGATAGTGAAAGGTGATGAATAAAACTTCTTTTAAAAAGAACCACAAGAAAATTTTAAACTTTCAAGAAGTTTCTTGAATGTTGCTTCTTTTATATACTTAAATTATATATATGTAAGAGTATCAACTGATTTGTTTAGTAGTCCTTGAATAGTTTTTTAACCTCTGGATTGTAGACTATCTAAAATGTTTTTACAATTCATTATTGGTTAGTCTTTTTGGATACTTATTTACTTTGTTAGTTTTGATCAAGTATCAAAACGGTGAACTTAATTATCAGGAGAAAAGTTTTAGAAACTTGGTAACCCACAAGTATACTTTTTAGTCACTTTTTGCTTCGTTTTTTTCTTACATTGAAATGTTTCTTTAGTGGTTGAGTGTATTTTTTTTTTTTTGAAGTTATAAAAGATAGCCAGTCTTTATCTGCTCTTTTTGTGTAGAAATATGCCATCCTGATGAGAGAAAAAGACATTTTTGTCAAGTGTCCTCTCTTGGTCTCGAATAGCCTTTCTTTTTTACCCTACTCTCCCAGCTGGAAAACAGTGCTGAAGTTAAACATAGCATATGCATTTTTTGTTTTTCTAGAAGTGAGATTTAGAATAGAATTTCATTTTTATCAATGTGTAATAATCAGCTTTTGATTTTATAGTTAGGTGATGGTTTTATATTATGTGATTATGTCTATATTTCAGCATACTCTGTAAGGACTTTAGGAGATTAATAGGGTTATGTATAGAATGTCTTACTGCTGATTTTTACTGGTATATAGAAAATGCAGGACTGAGAGTTCTTTCAAGAGTTTTGAGATTAGCCTTTTAATTTTAAACTTAAAATCTTAACTCCTACTACTGTGCCATGGACTTCAAGTCAATTTGCAGTTCCCAGTTTTCTACAGAGCTCCCATTCCTCATTTCTATTTTTCTCCTGATAATGCATTGATTTTAAATGAGATATTGTTAACTATATTGCGATTTTACATTTAAAATTTATCTTTAAGTAGTAATATAGTATCCGTATCACCTTTGTGATTTCTTCAAAGAACTCTCATTGTTCAAACAGATTTTCATAGTTGTAATTGTTTTATTATTTACTTTCATCACTTGATATCACTTTATATATATGTGTGTATATATATATATATATATGTATGTATGTGTGTGTGTGTGTGTGTGTGTGTGTATTTCCCCAATATCTTTTGACTTTACTCGAATCCTTTCTTCAGTTTTTGTGTTAATTAGGTTTTAGTTTTGCATCATTGTCAGCAATTTGTATAATTTCAGCCTAAAACGAAACTTTTTCTCACCAGGCCTACTCTTCTCATTGATGCCCTTTTCTGTTGATGATGTAGTTGATCTTTAGGTCAGGGAAAACATTTTAGTTAACTGTTTATTCATGCCTCTGTCTACATACATTCGGTCAATCTCGTAACTCAGTTTTTTCTTCAAGCACTTTTACATGAGTTCTTTTCTTTGCTGTTTGATTTGTCAGCCTAGTGCATACCTTTATCATCTTCATCTCTACAGTATAGTAATGGCTTTTCCCCCATTCCTCTGTTCTGTCTCTGGTTCAGTCCAGCATTCATGCACTGTCCGATTAATCTTTTAACAACATTGTTTGGCCAAATGGGTCAAAACTGAACTTTGTGGTGGAACAAAGCCATTTGCCCAGTTTGCTAGGCAACTTGAATTGGAGTACCTGGATCCAAGAACTTTTTGCTATTCCATTCCTAAGTGCAGTTGGAGAGTGATCACGTCATTCCTCTCCTTAAACCTAGATTTAAAACATTTAGTCATTCAGCTTATGCATAATATACAATACTCTGTTGTGTTATGTTCTTTTCTCTGTAGAAGTCAGTTACTTGCTTCCATTTGAACTAGATCTTTACTTTTATTTAAACTAGATCTTTACTTTTGTGTTCTTAAGACTATTTAGCCAACCTTCCTTCCTTCCCAATTAGAATCCTAGTTATTCTTCAGGCTTCAACCCAATAGCCAAACAGAAGGATCTTTCTGTCCTTTGAACTTGTATAACACTATGACAGTGGAGAGACACTCCTTTTTAGGATACCCATTGTACTTTATATTCTGCCTCTCTTTTGCCTTTAAAACACTTTTACAGAAAAATGTTTCATTGTGAGTTTGTCATCCCTGATAGACTACAAAGGCCTAGTCTTCCACATTTTTCTCTTTCCAGAGCCTGGCCCATAGTAGGTATTCAGTAAATATTTAATGAGTTTTTTTTTTTTTTTAAATTTTTTAAGGTTTTTGCCTTAGGATGTATATGCTTACCAGAGGGAGACAGAGACAGTGAAAAGGGAAGGTTAGACATCATCCCACCCCCACCCCAAGGTGGTATGGCCACACCATAATTCTTTCTCCATTGTCTTCCTGGGATCTGGACACTCATGCACACATGCCTGGCATGATTCCCAAGGCTTCAGGTCTGGGACTTGAACCGTGATTGGCTGTGTGGGAGTCTAGCCCCTTAACCATCATGCTACCTGCTGGCTCCTCTAGGCTCTACTTTTAAGGTGAAGTTTTCTTTTTACTTTTCTATATAGACTTACAGATAAGGTTAGTATTAAATTTTCATTGCCCTTAAAATAAAAGTTTTATCAGCTTTGTTTTTTGAATGGAAGAGGGTATGTGTGCTCACCAGAAAGAGACATAGAAAGAGAAAGAGGGAGAAAGCATCCTTTATTGGGGCATGGTGACATTGCAATTCCTTCTCCATTTTTCTCTCCTGTCAGGATTTTGGACATGTTC